TACGCGCGGAAGCTTGACTTCACTCACGAAACACGCGCGCGTGCAAATTCGATCTCGCACGATGTTCATCGTGAGGTGATGTCTTGATCTTCCATAACATTTCGTGAAAGAGGAAAGCGATAGAGAGGAGTTATTTTTACGATGCTAGTTGAATTTCTTTTTGAATTGTATGTACAACGTTGTCTCTCGAAAATTATCACTAAGTATTTTACTTAAAACCGCAAATATCTGAATTTTAATTAAATTCTGTATTTTAACAATACATACATATGTTAATTTTATAATTTTTTTACATTCTTTTGACAAACGAATAAAAAAAAATATTTAGCAAATTGCAAAATAATTGATAAATTAAATGGATAGAATGTGTACTTTGACAAAACAAATAAAAAACATTTATCAAAAAACATTAATGAATTATAGAATCAAATAAATAAATTGTATTACAATTTGTTCATAGTTTGGAAATTTTTTTTTTAAATGCTAGATTTATTCAGGCACGTGTATTTATCAGTTTAAGTGCAATACAGATTACATATTACATAATGCACTTTATTTTGTCTCGTCGCAGATTGTAAGACAAAAGATGATAAAATAAATATCATTCTCCAACCTCGACTTGGCTTGTGCAATTGTCGACTGTGGACGTTGTTCGCGAGTCGTCGTCGATTTATCTGAACGGTAAAATCGAGCTTCTCAATCGCAGGTAAAAGGAAATGCGCGCTCATATTGCTACGAGCCGATCGAGCGTATACCGTGACGAATTGCGATGAAGCGAGCAACGGAATAAAACGGCTAGAAAGGAACGGACCCTTCGGCAATGCACTCGATACCGAAATCGACGATATCATCCATTTCGAAATATCGCCAGTGCAGTTGCCGAGCCAAGTGCGACTGGAATAGGAACTGGTCGGAAAACTATGGTGGAGTATCGTAACGGTAGGACACTTTGTACGGGCATTTGCTCCGCTTTTCGCTATCGTAACGGCAAATAAATATTGCTTCAGTGCCGGGCAAGATTCGACGCGGCTTAGCGCGGTGAAATACGGCGTCGACCGTGAGTAAAGCGCAGCGTGCTTTGACATTAACGGCATTACCGCGTTCTCTTTTCATCGCGCACAGCCATTAGTTCACATTAACGTGAGAAGGAATTTCTGTTTCTCGCGTAATAATTTTTAAAGAGTAGAAAACGCATTATAATGTACTTTTTTGACGATGTTTGCCATAAACGAGAGCCTGAAAGCTAATACATAATGTGTTTGTAACGAAATTATAAACATTTGTTTTATTAATTTTGTCTACTTGCTTCACATTAAACATTTTCAAGTAATAAATATTTCATAATTACAAATATATAATGGATTTTATATACGTACTCTTTTCTATATCATTGTAAAATATATCTGTAATTTTATATTAGTTATGATAATTTTTCTCTTTATTTTTAAATTTTACATACATTTTATGTATATACATTTTTTTTCTGCAAGTTCCATATATTTTTATTATTCTTTTACATAAAACTATAATTTGCATGTGATAATTTGCATATTGAACAGTTTTGTTTTACATTTATTTGCTGTGCATTTTAATTGTGAAATGTTGAAGCTATGCATAGACAGTACAAGCGGATACAAAGATAAAATCAGGAATAAAGGTAGACGTGGCTAAATTTAAAGGTGAAGTGGAAAATTTCACTAGTGGTGTTTTCCGCCGAGTTCAAAGCTACAGATCAAACAACTCGGATTACGTGCCGCGACTGGAAGGAAGTTTGGAAAATCATCCGGCGAGTGGGCAGTACCCGTATTGTTCTCGTGACCGGTGTTTGCTTAACCCGCTCCATGACTATAACAAGAAGTTATTGTTGCCACGGAGTGCGGAGAATGCAGAACCTTATTGAATTGGTGCAAGGTACAGTGAGAAGAGTAGCCTTTGCGTATCGTGAGCCGAGTTCGATAGCTTTCATTTCCCAGTGTTCATCGAAAGTTGAGAGAGAATGCTTTATTGGCGAAAACTCCTTACTGAAGAACATAAAAGTTTGTCTTAGCAACATGGAAATGAGATATACATACATACACCTATATATATTATATATTAAATGTTATGTACTATTTATCTTTGGTTATATTATTTATATTATTTATTACATAGTCCATATTAACATATTTATTATATTATTATTCTGAATATATTCTGAATTTTTTATACATATATACTGATATACTATATATATTGCTCTTTATAATCTTTCTCATTTGCTTTTGTATTTTCCGCAATAACAGAGGGGACTAAAAAAAAAAAATCCTCGTTTTATCGCAGTTATAATTTAATTTCACCGTAAAGTAACAGCGAATTAATTTCGTAGCCAATAAGAGTATTTTCAAGGTACCTATACCGACCCTTTTGATCCCGTCACGCTTTCGTTATGCCTTCAGCTTCAGTTATTTCCGCAATTTTCACATGTACCTCGTAACAATTTCAATTTCTACCTACGCCGAAGTCCCATTTTCTCCGGCATACAATGGAAAATTTTATCGGACGCGTTCTATCTCGCCCTTCTTGCCCGTGCACGGTCGTTCCATTGGGCTTTCCGATGCCACCCTTCGGAAACCCGTTCGTTCCTTTCTATCCCATTCAGCTACTCCTATGGGATTATGATAATGACAATCTCCGCGATTGTCGAAACCTTGATTAATAGCAAGTCGAGTGATCCATTATAAATTAAATAAAACTTGCGCTGGGATGCATCATAAAGCTGATAGCATATTACCGTACATCATTAGAGTACATTAATTCGAGATACATTTCCCTGAAGATAAAAGTTGAAAAATAAATTTATTATTGTTTATATTTAATAATTTCCTTTTAATAATATGTATTAATTCACAAATTTAATCTGCAAACAAAATAAGTTTTATTTTATTGTCGTATACACATCAATCACAATCGGAGATTTTACAATTAAAAATATTATTATTTATATATTCTTTTATAAAGAGTAAATATGTCGTTAAGCTAATATTGAAAGACATATATATCGTTGGTATTATGCAAAGTAATGTTTGCAATTCAGTACGTTTACAAGATATTAATTAGCATTTTGTAAATCAAATGTTGTGGTTAACGTGGTCAGAAATGCATTAAGCGTTGTTTATATTAACATTTAATCGTTTAAATTAGGCAAATGTGAACAATTATTAGTTTACTTATTATAGTGCATAAATTTCTAAATACATCATACTTGTAAAGCAGAGAAAATTGTGCCAATGAAATACGAACAACTTGAAACATCGTTGTCAACAATAAATACTAATTTATTGAATATTATATTCGGTTTTAATATTATTATTAGATTATGCTTCATTATAACGCGTTAAAAAGCGGAAGGTATAAATATACTTATACATACACCTGTTAATACACTTTATGGTTATATGATAGTTTGTAAATTATTTGCTTCGATATAAGATCTCAAAGAGGATAGTGGTATTCTTGGCGCGAACCGCATCGTGTTTCGTGAATGCTAAACTCAATTGTGTACAGGAACCGTGAGTAATGGCGTGACGCTTTATAATCCCGGAAGTTTGGGCTTAATCAAGTACTTATTACAATTACCTACGGCATGCGCGCAACCCGGCAACTTTCAGTCCACTCGCAGCTGCAACTTCTGATACCGTAAAGGATTTTGCATCTAATCTCGTTTGAATGTACGCCGTACTGAGTTTCCATATTCATCTAACTTCGACTTTGACTTTAGTGTGAGCCCGCTCAATGTTTCATCAGATAAGATTTGTCCACAGGTTTACGTACCTTATTAAGTTTCGCAATACTTTCTTAAACAATATTTTCTCGAATAATTTGCAGTTGCAACAGTGACGCGCGTGAAATCTACAAGTTCACATTAGATGTTTCATTTATGTGATTAAAATAGAAAATATCTGTTTCTCAATATGATTTCGTTCGTATAAATCTTATGAAGCAAATTTTTTGTATGGAAAAAAACCGATAAAATAGGATAGAACGATAAAGTAAAAATTTATTGTAAAATAAAAAATTTAAAATATATGTACAAAGTTAATTACATTTATAAAAAATTATATACATTAAATGTCGATACGTGGTCAAAATTTAAAAACAAGAGAAAAATAAAAGGCATATACCACAAGCGCTTGATGTCGTACAGCGAAACTACTTTCAAAGTCAATACATAAAATTACATTAAATTAATAAATAAAATAGACGTTTCGGCTTTCTATTGGGCCATCATCAGTATATAAATATAAATTATAAATTACGCAGAAATGTATAGTATACAAATAAAAATTGAGTTCTTTCTTCGTTACATCAATCGTCTATGTCAATAAGCTCGTTAGATTTCTTGTTTTACTTTCTTTCGGTGTATATTTTCAATGTATCTATAATTTCATGTTCCACAAATTATAGAAGAATTATATTAACATTATTAATTTCATTATTATTTTTTGAAAAATTAATTGTATTAATTATTTGTACATTAATTAAATGAATTATGTCTGTTTATCTGTGTGTATTACATATCATGCTTATTATCATCTGACCCGTTTTTACATTTAAACTAATTAAAAGCCGTGGATCAAGACTTCACATTATGACTAAAAATGTTTATTATATTATACTATAATTTGAGGCCACAGTAACTCAAAATTCCCCATTGATCATTGTATAAAATTAAATTTGAATATAAGACTAATTTATGCCAAGCTTTTATTTTGCAATGGAAGCTCAACCGTAGCTAATTTAAGAAAGTAATTTTTCAATTATAATTTTAACATTTATGCGTATACATATATTTATCACATTTTTTGGTGCTGAAATAGTTTTTGAAAATGATTTATTCAAAGTTCTTCATATATGTACAATAACGTTATCTGATGATATTCAATTTTTCTTGGATTAAAGATATTTACAAAATTATCTTATATTTTCAGACATCACTATTAACATGACGTATTCTGTTTCAGGTGGTTCCAGTATCGCCAGCGTAGTAGCAGGTAGCAAGCCGACGAGATCCTGGGACAAACCTCAATTCGACGATATTGCACCGCGAAATATCACTGCCATCGTCGGTCAGACGGCGGAGCTGAATTGTTATGTCAAGCATCCGGGCGACCGTGTGGTGAGTAACATTTTCATGTTACATTTGCCACGCATCCGTTGTTTCTCCCCTGTATTGTCAGATAAAAGTTCAAGGGTATTCTCATCGGTGATGTATTATTCCAATTCCTCTCAATTTTTCCAGCAGCATTCGGTGTTTTTTTTTTTTTAAGCGTAAAACGATCGTCGCAATTTTGCAGTATAAAACGATCTTATAATATTACAAAAGAGCGGAAAGATTTAACTATAAGATTTTACTACATTTTATGTGAAGAAAGCTGTCAAATGCACGATGCTATTCTTCATTTCGTATTGTTTCACACCTTAATACGCCGAGCTGCTATTCCGTGTTAGCGTCAATCTCGAAAGCTAATCGCGTTGATTAATGTCGCGAAATTGTTAGCTTGAAAAATGATAAAATAGTTTCCATCGTATAGCTCCCGTATGACGTTAAGTTGTCGTGCTACTCTAAAATACCCGAAATAAAGATCTCGGATTATGGTACACGCTCTTAAGACTGGCGCAAATTACAAAAGGGCACGCTACAGAAAAATTGATCAAGAAGATACACGTATGAAGACTTTTTCATCGAAACCTAACTCTTTTTTAAAACAACGTGGCAAATAGAAATTTTTATTCAATAATATAATTGTGATCCATTTTTTGATGATACGGGTGCTTTCCTGTGCAGCAAGAAAAATAAACAAGTTCTTTTTGTAATAATTTTTGATGTGAATATGTTACATGTGAAATATGTATATATTTGACAAACGTATATAATGACATGTAGAATTGAATTATAATCGATATGCAATTTGATTATACCATTTGATTGTATTGAATATATTTGTTCTCGGACAATGTAATTGAAAAGACAAATATTTCTATTTAACACTTTTACTCTCCATATGTTAATAAATATATTTGTTTTTCTAGTTGCAATTAATATCGCGTAATTGCAAAGTCACGTCGCGAGTGACTTTTGCACGCAAAAGCGCACGATAACTTTGCGCATAGGAGATCTTCAGAAGAACGTTTATCGTTAGGATGCAAATGGAGCAGCAAAACTTTCAAGTCTCTCGACAAGCGAACAATAACGCTGTCCTGAGACAGTTCGCCTGTAACTGCAAACAGTTACTGGGGAACTCGCGCGATCCAACGTGCGGCACAACACAACGGTGGCGTTTTCACGGGGTCCGCGTGCAGAATGGCGACGCGATAAAAACGCGCGCGGACATTCTTGCTGCGCTGCATTTACAATAGCCAGCAAGAAACGCAGCGAGGAGTTCTCGGTCTGATTAAATGCAAATCTCGTCGTTATTACGGCGCCCGAGCGCGAAAGGCAACGTCGTCCTTTAACATCGCTGTTCAATTAACAGTCGTGAGATTATTTAGTATAAAATAAATTGGTAAATAATAATTAATGCGCGCCGGCTTCGTGTAAACTCTCGTCAAACTTGTAGGAAGTGCGATCGATAGATCTCGCATTTTCCATGAGATTTTAATCTTTATGATGACGCATTTATCGCGAGTTGCAAAGAAATATTGATGGCATCGTTAAAACTTATCGACTAACCGCGAATTGTTTTAGGTATTATCTTCGACAAGCATTAACGGATCGTTAAACTTTAACGATCCATTAGTACTGACGGTGCAGAGAAAGTCAAACGTTGAATCCTTGCTTTGCAGAAAAGAGCATTTGTAAAGGAATACTATCATTTAATTTAGTTTGCTAATTGCTGTTCAGGATTGTATGTACTTATTATTAATATTTTAACCAACACTCATAATGGGTTCAGATTATTCACTATTATTACACGGAAAGAACGATTTTGTTGAAAGATCTAAAATTTTGCTGGATACAGATTTGAAAATAATTTTGTTGGACCATCAAGTTATTTTCAGACCCGCATCCAGCAAAATTTTAGATCTTTCAGTAAAATCGTTTTATCCGTGTGGGAAACTGCAAAATTGTCAACGTGATAAATGCATCTCTCTTGTAATATTCGAAATAATATTTTAGGTATATTCCAGAGATACATGGAAAAAACGGTTTTGCTGAAGTATCTAGAAATTTATCTGGATATAAATTTGAAAATAGTTTTGTTAAATCATTAAAATAACTATGTGATGATGAAATACAATTAGTAATGCTGCAAATAGTTTTGACATTCTAATAATCATCTTAACCGACCTACGTAATTATTTTGTATGGTTTAACCAAATTATTTTTAAAACCGTATTCATAACTGAATTTTTAAATATTTCAGCAAAACTGTTCTTTCAATGTAGGTATATTGAGATTTGTTTTGTCTTTCTCTTTTTCTTATTAATTAAATAAAAAATGAAATTATTGAATGAATCAATTTTATAATTTTATCTATATTTTCTATTAAATAGTTTTATAGCATTACGACCTGTCTAAAATATTTGAAATGGAATCTAATTCTAAAGAGTGAGAAAGAATAACAATTGAGTTAGTATTGAAAGAGTGGCTCGATTGTCAATTTTTGAGAGTAAAATTTCATTCTTTAGAATTAGATTTCACTTCAAAGATTTTAAAGAGACGAATTATATTTGAAATCTTGGAAGCGACATTTCTGAATTTAATCATAAATTAAAAATTATTTTTCGTATTTGATCTGGTTTTTATTACAATTTTAATTCTGCAACGAATTTATGGAGGAATCCCGAATAAACTTATCGGAATACAGTAATTTTGGATGGTTCTCATAGTTCAGTATGAAGTATTTCTTCCTCTGGAATTGTTTGCAAATACGAACGAACACCTCAGAGTCGGATATTGTTTGTTCTTGGATACTCTAGGCTCCGTTTGTGAATTCGTTTGCATTGTCTCAACCTTGTTACCTGTTTGAAAATGTAGGTACGTCTGTAGGTTCATTAACACTTTGTGCAACGCGGGTGATAATGAAGTGTGTCCTGATGGAATAATTATCTCTGTGCGTAAATGGAATATTTGCCCATTTCGTCGTGACAATTTATTGTTATTTCACGCACGCTCGATACCTGTACGTCTTCCTCGTGTGCATATGTTTATTTATATAAAACCTGCGACACAATACGGAAGGTTCAAAGAGAATAATTAGGCGTTAATTCATTTCTCCATTATTTCGAAATTTCATTTCTCATTTCTCAGTTGATCTACACCAATTACATTATCTGACTTGTGTCAAACCGCACGGTTTCTGGAATATTGTACATTGGGCACCAAAGGGATTCGATTTATACGTAAATGTTCGCATAATTATGGGTGTTTATTCGGTTTAGCATATGTAGCGGCGCGATATCAATATGCACATTAAATCCATTAAAGTTACGTAATGAACAATTGAGGTTTAATGTTTATTTTGCACTGCATATTCGCGTATTATTGCATTATGGGGCGTATAATACGATCGCGTTCATTGCGCATACGGATGCGCGTTATATACATTATTAATATTATTCGTTCAATTTTGATCGTGCGCGATCATCCGCGAGTTTTGTAGCGCATAAGCAAAACTGTTAATACGCTAATCAACCATTAATCAACCATTCTTCAATCACAACAAAATGTTTACCATTTATCAACTGGTATAAGTTAATGTTCTCGATATTAATAGCAATGAGTTACACTGATTCTGCGAATTAGGATTATTAAATAGCTGTAATGTTTTAAGTGTAAGCATAATACATATAATGATTAACTTCGTATTTGATATTCATTTTGAATCAGTATTATTCCTTATTTATTTTGTGCACAAAATTTTAAATAATGAAAGATGTTTTATTTCAAATAAAACTATAATTATATTTTTAAAAACTCTAAGAACTTAACCAAAGATGATTAATACGAGATTATTGTTCTGTTTGACGCAAACTTCGCATGTAAAAGGGGCGATCAAATTTTTTTATATTTCCAGAATACACACTTGCAATCTCAAGGATAGCACATAACAATGCTATCAGGAAGTTTTATCATTTCGAAATGGAACGACGTTCCCTTACTTTAACGCATCATTGAGCACCTTCGGCTATCTTAACAAGAGAGACGATCGTTAAAGTCGTCGTTACTCGCTTCTGAAATTCCCAAGAGTGCGCGCACCATATTGTGTGTTTGTTCATCCGTAATGTATACTTATACATGTACAAGGTAAATATAAAGGCAAAATCTAGATATCCTTTTTTCAAAAAATAATTTATGAAAATTATTCTTCGGTATTTAATTTTATGACAATTAAAATAATTGTCCTTTTTTTTGGCTTGCAATACCTGAAATACATATACCTATTTGAAAGAGAAAGAACTTGCACACAGAAAAAAATATTTTATTTTGAAAACATTGAAAGCAACTAAATTATATTTTAAATATTTTGAACGTAAAAAGCCATTAAATTATATTTTAAATATTTTGCAACAGACAGCTTTGTATGTAAGAAGATTTCGGAAATAGAAAATATCTCGGCAATTAAGGTGAAATATCCGGTATAAGTATAACATGTATAAGCGCGTACATGTATTCGATAATCGTTTTAGTAGCGAAAGTTGTCTTTAATTGGCCAGACCAAAGGGCCTGAGAGAACAGTAGAAGAAGCAAATAGGGATCGCGAAGGTAGTTACCCCTGACTGCACGTTCTCAGTGGTGGTAAATGAACCGGTCAAGCGTAACCGGCCAAGTGGTTGCCAAGAGAGTATTGGACCGCCCGTCACTATGTCAATGATATACATGTCGCGCAGCATGCATATAGCCGGCACAAACGTCTCGGAGGTACACTGCCATTACACCAGCGAGTGTGAATATCTGGAGCGAAGATCAAAGGATAAGTGCAATTACTAAATTAAATAAGCTGGCGAATATATTTCTATTTATAGAGACTAACGGATGACTTCAGACAGTCTTGCATATTATATATTTAGTACATTATATTTGACCACTGCCGTGTACATTTTGAAACATTTCTAAAAATCACGCCATGCAAATCTAAAACACAATGCTATACGTAAGAAAATCTAATTTCAAAATTATATATTAAAAATGTACCGTTTGTAAAAATAATAAATTGCAGTATCTGAAAAATAGATTTTTCGTTATTTAGATATGTGAAATATACAAATATATTAATTATGAATGCATGAAAAAAATTACTGTTACCACGACCAAAAGTCGCATCAATATATTTTTTGGTTATAAGACCTATAGTATGATAACAGTAAAATTGATATATCTTAAGGGGATGCTGGAACCGCCTGTATTACCAATAAAACTAGCATTTTTGACATTTTTGTTCCTGTCGAATTTTTTCGTAGTGGTTTCACAGAACAAAAATTCCTTTTTCACGATTAAAATGTATACATGCTAATGTACTTGTCACTGATGTATTTCGTGTTCAAAGTTGGAAAAAATACACCAGCGACAAATACATTAGTACGTACATTTTAATCGTGGAAAAGGAATTTTTGTTCTGTGAAACCACTACGAAAAAATTCGACAGAAACAAAAACGTCAAAAACGCTAGTTTTATCGGTACAAGCAGCATCCTCTTAACAGCTTAAGATATGTCCACCTTACGATTATCACAAAAAAATGTATTGATGGGCGAAAATTGTTATTTTCGGTTGTGGCAACCATAGCGCCTTTTTCCGTGTGCTTAATATAATATACCTATACTTTAAATATGTACATCTGAAACCAATTAATTCAATGTCTAAAATAATGTTCGCTATTGAATATTTATTGTTTAATTAACAACTAGCTCTCGGAAAGAAAAATTGCTAGGAGCAGGTTTTCACTACAGCAAAGCTTGTAGGTGGAACAGCCGGCTTGATTGTAAAATGGATCGGAAGTGATCCGTTTAATCGAGCCCTTCCCATCGCATGTACCATCTGAAATAGTTCGAATGGCTTAGGCTTAATTGTGTATCTGTACATTGCCAAAGTGATACGTATACTATTAAAGGAATTCCGATCCATGCTACAAGGGTTAACATTTGATTGCGCGTATCGGCTTTGCATTTTCATTAAGCATAATGGATTGTAGAGATATGAAAGGCTCTGTCACTCTAATCGGTTCTCCTCTTTTTTCCGCGACATTATACTTTCTATTACAGAAAGCGACCGCTTGAAATGCTTTAATACTCTTCTTTGACGCGATATTGGAGGATTGGCGCAAATTCATTTTAATCGTCAAAAATACGGCCGCTCAAGCTAACGTTTCATCCACTTAGCGACGGTATTAAATGATAAATCAGCGACGGGTATAGGCGAGCATCGTAAACCGATCCGCTTTCCATTTAACAATTTGCACGTTTTATGCGATACCGTATCTCGCTTCTCAAAATCAATAAAGTAGGAATGAGTCACGGCGGATATGTGCAAAATTCAACAGAATAAACTGTTTGCTATTTGCAGAGTGCTCCGGTGATGCATTGTTTATCTCTCTATAAAATATAACGGACGTAGTTATACCATTTTTATATTTGCGTTTTTATATTTAGATCGCCAAATATTGTGTAAGAAACGTTTCCTAAGAAAGATCAAGATTATCACGATAAAATTGAATTTTGATTTTGATTTCACAATGAAACTACGTTAATATGGTTCAAATTATGTAGATACACATATAATAATTGCTATTATTGGAACAACACATACTTTCAAAAATTGGAATCAAACTTTGTATCGTAATTCGTGGGTTTTTGCTAGCATATTTTGACACTATAAATTTAATACAAAATTTATTCGGACGTTGTAGCAATTAAAAATTTGTCCTATTGTCTCGTGATACATATAACTACTTATATACCGTGCTCTGTTCGAAAAGTGCAACACGCTGTATAATCCACCATTATTCTCGACCACCCTCTTTTTAATTCGTCGCTCATGATTTAGAGCGTTGCTCGAAAATAAAAGTGCATCGTACAATATGCGAGCCGCCCGAAGGTATTTCCAGGTGACATCCTTTCACATCGCGCCGGTAACTCCGATAATTGATTTAGCGGTGGATCAGGAACGTAACACATATAACTGCTCCGCGCGACGGCGTTGGCAGGGAGGAGGGTTCCGTTTAAACTTAGTTTAATTAAACCGTGGATTTATTGGGCACTTGATACGCGCACACGAAGACATGGCTATACTAGCGGGCGACAAGGGGTATACCAGAGTTGGTACGGGAGGCTAAAGCGAGATAAAGTAGTGAGGCGAAGCTGATGGGTGAAAGGGTGAGTCGAGAAGAGAGAGGAGAGAGGGCGAGGGGCGAGAGGGAGAGAAGGAAAGAAGGTATGGTACATATGTCTACGAGCATCCTGTCGCCGCTGTGTGAGTGTATATGCCATGCAGACGGGACAAAATCTTCCAAATGGCCCCGGGAGAAATATTGCGGGGCATCAATTGGGATAATGGCGCGAGTGATCTAAGAAGACTCGTGAAGAAATCGGTTTCGTGCCCCCAGCGTCTACAGCACCCGCGGCACTTAGAAACGATATTTCCCACCTCGAAAATGTCATGGAATTGGCCGCGATGCATATTCAGCGGAATCGCACTTTAATGAAGGGCGCCGACTGCTCTTGGGACGTGAAATGTACACTACCAAGAGGTGAGCTCGCGGTTAATTGGGAAGAGAGACGAGATGAGACATGAAGCACTTAGACTATGCGGTTCTTGACTTATCTCGCGATGATTGCTCGGTTATTTTCGATAATTTTCTTGCCTTAAAACATATTGCTTCTGAGAGATCTATCATCTTCAATTTTTTGTAAATAATGTGTAAATTTGTTTAGAAATAGTTTAGATTTTTTATCAGAATTTAATTTAATGTTTTAGTGAGCACCATTAAAACTGTTATATATTGATACAATCTGAATGTAAAAGTAAAAAGCAAATATTTTAAATTATAAAATGTATATTTTTTATTTATTTTTACTTAATAGCGCAATAAAATATATTGAGGATTTTACGTTTAACCCGTTTTTATAATTATAAACACATATTTTTGCGTCAATTTGTATGACGCTTTAATATGAACCAGTGCGTCCAATTAAATTCGCTATTAAAGAATATTAATGGCGTTGTAAAAATATACATTATTTTTCTATGATATTTTTAAAATACAATAAAATAAAATACAAATAGAAGTTTATTCTTCGCCTATTCAATCAGAGCAACATTTGAGAAATCGTATCGTAGCTGCAGCGAACAGAATATCGCAAGAACAGTGCCTGGCTGCTACAAGAGCCGTGTTTGACAGATGCAATGCTTGTATTGCTGCAAGAGGTGCACATTTCGAACAAAATCTTCATTAAAAAGTTTATAAATAAAATAATTAAAATAATAAATTAAATATATTTTTTTCTTTTTTCGTGATTTCCTGCGAAACAAAGCAAAAAGGAGCATATGTCTATAGGACTTTTTTTCTTAGTTTTTTACTCCTCTACACGCTCCCGAAGTTTTGCCATTTAATTTGGAAACACCCTGTATAAAGAAATATTTACAACACACTACATATTTTTATACATTTTTCTTTTTGCACACCTTTTTCTCAATTTGTTAGTACAAAACGTTC